GTGTTGAACAATGAGAACACATGAGCACAAGGAGGGGAGCATCACACACTGGAGTCTGTTGGGGGGCAAGGGGCTAGGGGAGGGACAGTGGGGGATGGGGAGATTGTGGAGGATAACATTGGGAGAAATGCCTGATGTAAGTGATGGGGGGGATGGAGCTAGCAAACCACCATGGCATGTGTGTACCTATGCAACAATCCTGCGGGATCTACACATGTACCTTAGAACTTAAAGTACAATTAAAAAAAGAGACAAAAAAGTCAGTACATAATGGTACAGGGGTGAATTCAGCAAGAGGATATAAGAATTCTAAATATATATGCACCCAACACTGGAGCAGTCAGGTACATAAAGCAAATTTTCTTAGAAGTAAAGAGAGAGATAGGCCCCAATGCAATAATAGCTAGAAACTTCAAAACCAGACTCTTCAGCACTAGAAAAATTGTCTAGACGGGAAATCAACAAAGAAACATTGGACATTAACTACACTATGCACCAAATAGACAAATAGATATTTACAGAACATTTTGTCCAATGGCTGTGGGAATGCACATTCTTTTCCTCAGTACACAGATCATTCTCAAGGATAGACCATGTATTGAAACATTCACAAAAACTGAAATAATATCAAGGATCTTCTCTGACCACAATGGAATAAAACTAGAGATCAATAACATGAGAAATTCTGGAAACTATACAGACACAGAGAAATTAAACAGCACTCTCCTGAATAACCAGTGAATCAATGAAGAAATTAAGAAGGAAACTGAAAGATTTCTTGAAACAAATGATAGTGGAGACAAAATATATCGAAATCTTTGGGATAGAGCAAAAGCAGTACTAAGAATGAAGTTTATAGCTATAAGTGCCTACATCAAGAAAGAAAAAAAACTTCAAATACACAACCTAATGATGCATCTTAAAGAACTAGAGAAGCAAAACCAAACCAAACTCAAACTTAGTAGAAGAAAAGAAATAATAAATATAAGAGCAGAAATAAATGAATTTGAAATAAAGAAAACAATACAAAATGTCAATAAAACAAAAAGTGTTTTTTTGAAAAGATAAACAAAAAACTTTTAGCCAGACTAAGAAAAAAAGAGAAATGATTCAGATAAAATCAGAAATGAAAAAGGAAACAATAGAACTGTTGCCACAGAAATTCAGAGGATCATTGGTAGCTACTAGGAGCAACTATATTCCAATAAATTGGAGAATATAGAAGAAATGAACCAATTTCTAGACACATACAACCTACTAAAATTTAACCAGGAGGAAATCCAAAACCTAAACAGATCAATAACAAGAAAGAGACCAAAGCAATAATAAAAAGCATCTCTCAGTAAAGAAAAGCCAGCAAAGTATGATCTTGTATTTGGAAAAACCTAGACACCACTAGAAAATGATTCAAACTGATAAATTCATTGAAGTTGCAGGGTACAAAATCAGCATATAAAAATCAGTAGCATTTTTATATGCCAATAGCAAACAATCTGAAAAAGAAATCAAGGAATTAATCCATCTTACAGTAGCTACAAATAAAATTAAATATCTAGGAATTAACCAAAAAATTGAAAGAGCTCTAAAATAAAAAACTAAAAAACCTTGATGAAGGAAATTGAAGAAGACATACAGAGATGAAAAAGATTGTTCATGTTTATGAATTGGAAGAATTAATATTGTTAAAATGTTCATACTTCCCAAAGCAATCTACAGACTCAACGCAATCTCTATCAAAATACCAATGATATTATTCACAGAAATAGAAAAAAACAATTTTAAAATTTCTGTGGAACCACAAAAGACCCAGAGTAGCCAAAGCTATCCTACCCAAAAAGAACAAAACTGGAGGAATCTCACTACTTGACTCTAAATTATTCTACAGAGCTACAGTATCTAAAATGTCATGGTACTGGCATTAAAACAGACATATAGATTAATGGAACAGAGTAGAGAGCCCAGAGATAAATTAATACATCTATATTGAACTCATTTTTGACAAGGATGACAAGCACATATACTGGGAAAAGGACAGTGTCTTCAGTAAGTGGTACTGGGAAAACATGATATCCATATGCAGAAGAATGAAACTAGACCTCTATCTCTTGCCATATAGAAAAATCAAATCAAAATAGATTAAAGACTTAACTATAAGACTTCAAACTATGACACTACTGAAAGAAGACACTGGGGAGACTCTCCAGGATGTTGAACTGGGCAAAGATTTCTCGAGTAATATCCTATAAGCACAGGCAACCAAAGTAGAAATGGACAAGTGGGATCACATCAAGTTAAAGAGTTTCTGCATGGCAAGGAAACAATCCACAATGTGGAGACTACATAAAAAATGGGTGAAAATATTTGCAAACTACCCATCTGACAGCAATTAATTAATATCCAGAATTTTCTAAAGAGCTCAAACAACTTCATAGGAAAAACATATAATAATCTAATTTAAAAATATGCAAAATATTTGAAAATGTATTTCTTAAAAGAAAACATACAAATGATAAACAGGCATATGAAAAGTATCAACATCATTTATGATGAGAAAAATGCAAATCAAAACTACAATAAGCTATCTTCTCACCTCGGTTAAAATGGCTTATATCAAAAAGACAGGCAATAAAAAATTCTGGCAAGGATGTGTAGAAAATGGAATCCTTGCACACTGTTGCTAGGAATGAAAATGAATGCAACTACTACGGAAAACAGTTTGTAGCTTACTCAAAAAACTAAAAATTGAGCTATCATATAAACCAGCAATCCCACTTCTGAATTCCATATCCAAAAGAAATCAGTGTATCAAAGAGATAACCTCACTCCTATGTTTGTGGCATCATTTGTTCACAATAGCTAAGATTTGAAAGCAACCTAATTGTCCCATCGATGGATAAATGGATTAAGAATATGTGATACATAAATGCAATGGTGTACTATTCAGCCGTAAAAAAAGAATGTGATCCTGTCATTTGCAACAACACAGATGGTACTGGAGATAATATGTGAAATGAAGTAAGCCACACACAGAAAGACAAATTTTGCATATTGTCATTAATTTATGGGATCTAAATATAAAAATAATTGAACTCAAAGAGATAGAGAACACAAGAGTGGCTACCAGAAGCTGAGAAGGGTAGAGGGTGGTCAGTGGGGATGGTTCAGGGGTACAAAAAATAGATCAAAAGGATGAATAAGACCTAGTGTTCATTAGCATAACAGGGTGACTATAGTAAAAAATAATTTAATTGTACATTTGAAAATAACTAAAAGTTTATAATTTGATTGCTTATAACAGAACAGATAAATGCTTGATGTGATGGATACCCTATTTGCCCTGATGGGATTATTACACACTGTATGCCTCTATCAATATAGCTCTTGTGGCCCTTAATATATACACAAGGAAAGAAAACCAAATACTGCATGTTCTCACTCATAAGTGAGAGTTGAACAACGAGAACACATGGACACTGGGAAGGGATCATCAAACACTGGGGCCTCTTGGGGAATGGAAGCTAAAGGAGGGATAGTATTAGGAGAAATACCTAATGTAGGTGATGACGTGATGGATGCAACAAACCACCATGGCACATATATACCTATGTAACAAACCTGCATTCTGCATATGTACCCCAGAACTTAAAAATAATTTTAAAATTCACAGAAAAAGCTATAAAAATGGCTTTTAAATACCTGAAAATATCCAAAATTCAGTCATAAAAAAAGAAATTCAAATTAAAAATACTCTACCATTTCTCTTATATCAGAAAAGCAAAAACTCAAAAGCAAGAAAACATAATTTGTTGCTTGAATTGTGAGGAATCAAGCACTCTATTGCCATTGGACACCCAGAAAATTCACTGTGATAGAGTAGCTTGATTTCTTGTAATTTGATCTATCAACATCTAGTTTGCATATGTTTCACTAAACATTTAAATACTTGTTACTTCCTGCTCATAAGACTTCATGATAACACAATAATGATATCAACATAATGGACTGGCATAACATTATATTGAATGTCAAGATTATTTTATCTACTCTTCTACATATCTTCTTTCTAGCCAACATTGAAAAACCATTGCCTATGCTTTCCTTTATTAAAATACAACTTTGGACTCCAAAACACAGTAAGGAAAAAACTTAAATATAAACTAACTAGTAATTCCAGATTTTTATGTTTAAAGCAACGATTAACTTAATTGTCAAGCAGATGCAACACATTGAAACTCTATGCTTCCCCAAAACATAGAAATATATTAATAAGGACTCACATACAATGAAGAAATCATCAAAGTATAAATGAATTCAACTCCTAAATGTGATAATAATTGTTCCAAGTGCATTAGTTTAATTTCATGGGATACATTTCCTTTATCGTCCTTCTGTTGGAACCATAAATGTAGAAGTGTCAATGTCAATTTTTATTCTTCTCACTTTGAAAGCATCCTTTTAAATCTTTATAAAAAATCAATATAAAATAAATATAAATAGCAGATGCATAAGTGTAGATTGGGATAAATATCAACCCAAAATAAAGTAATGCAGAAAAAACATGAGTAGGCTTATTGAATGAGTATTAGAATATATCTTCTTGTATGCAGAAGTGGTCTGAGGAATCAGTTGAAAATACAGAGGCATTAAAACTAGATTAAGGCAATTAAATAGAATATCAAACTTAGTTGAAACAAAGTAGTTGAAGAAATAATATTTACTAAATGTGTTCTGACATTTTCTAATGAAGAAAAGAAACCTTACTATTAATCATGTATTAGAATTGGCTTTTCTTTACAAATTATTAAATTTCCTTGAATGCTTCAAATGCTCTCATTAGGGAATTATTATTATTTGCATCCTTTATTTTCTAATTTCCCATAATTTTTAAAATTAATATTTTGTTAGAATTGTTTTAAATTTACAAAAAATGGAAAGTACAGAGTTACTACATACTCCCACTACACACACATGATTTTTCTTATAACATCTTATATATTTGTTAACATTAATGAACCAATATTGATACATGATTTTAACTAAAATCTATAGTTTACATTAGTGTTATATAGTTCTATGAGTTTCACTAAATGGATAATGTCATGTATCCACCTTTACAGTATCATACAGAATATTTCTCTACTCTAAAGCGATCTGTGCTCCACCTACTCATCTCTTCCTCTCTCTCCTGTACCTTTGGCAACCACTGATCTTTTCACTGTTTCTATAGTTATGCCTTTTCCAAAATGTTGCATATTTGGAATCACACAGTATGTAGCCTTACTAGACTGGCTTATTTCACTTACCGATACACATTTAAAGTTCTTCCATGACTTTTCATGGCTCCTTTCTTTTCATTGCTCCTTTCTTTTCATTGCTGAATAATCTTCCATTTTCTGGATATACCACAGTGTATCTGTTCACTTTTGAAGGAATATCTTGGTTGCTTCAATTTTTTGTAAAGCACTTTTAAAATATGAGACTATACTTGCACAGCCAAATCATTTATTGCCCCAGCAATTACCATAGGATAGAACTCTGTGAGACTCAATCTGAAGTAATCTTTCCTTTGTTTTTATTCTCCTTATCTCTTTGCTCTCACATAAAGTTCAAAGGCAAAAAAAAAAAATTCTGTTAAGTAGGCATCTCATTTTAAGCAGTCTTAAAATAGTGCTTCTAAATGATGCTCCAAGTAGCAGCTACATTAGAATCATCAGCGTTCCCTCTTAAAATTCAAATTCCTGGGCCCTACTCTTGATCTACTGAATCAGAATTTCTGGGGACGAGCCCAGGTTTCTATTTTTTTTTTAACAAAGCTACCCATGTTGCCTACTTTCACTAAAGTTTGAAAGCTGACTACTTTTTTAATCAAGTTGTGTTTTAGATAATGTATGATATAACATGCTTTCTCCATTTTTGGATGTCTCAGGACTGGGAAGAGTAGGATTGATGTTAAAGTATGTGACTGACTCTTCATTAGAGAGAAGTGATTTTTACAGAAATGTACTGAGTATTAGGGAAAGTATTTTTTTATTCTATGTTGTTTCTTTCCAACATTCTTTGGAAATGGGATGCATGGATATTATACTGAATCATTTACTTTTTCCAGTATTTCTTCATCAAGCTGAAGGTACCCAGAAAAATTACTCCCCTACCTCAAACCATTACTTAGATCCACATTCTTAAGAAGGGCTTATAGATTAATATTGTTTTTTCAAACCAGGAAACTATTATAGTTCAATAATGATTAATATTTTGGGTAGTTTTCTGCATTCTTATGTTGTTATCCTTTCATTTTTTTCCAGCAAAATGTATTGCATTAGAATTTGATAGAATTCTACTGAGTTGGTTATTGGATTTTCAAACTCATAGCAGAAATCACAACTTTGAAAGCCAAAGCTTTCATTTGTAAAAATAGGCTTTTTAAGAGAATACAACTATCCTTGAAAATCAAAGGGAAAACAATCCTAAAAACCAGTCCATCAGACTTGTGTCACAAACAGGAAATTAGAAACACAATGCAAGATAATTTAAGAGTTAATTTTTTCTCCATATTTAGAAAAGATACCTATGTGTGCACGCGTGCGCAACACACACACAGAGATGGAAGATTTTAGATATTAGAGATAAATAAGAAAATAGATTTTTAGTTGTCCACTAGAAGGCCTAGGACCCTGCTCCCATTTTTGTCCTTCTAGATTGAGAGTATAGAAATCATGGCTTGTTTTAAGAAACTCTAAGAGGAGAGAGAGCTGGTACCTTATTTCCCAAGGAGATTGCAGGCCTTTTAAAGAAGGCTGTCCAGAATTGTCTTCAAGATAAGGAAGGAATATGAGATTAAGGCAGGCAGATTCCTGGACAAAACAAAGACTTTCCAAACGAAGAAAATGGGGGTCATACAAGTGCTTAGAGAAAGCTGGTGGAACTGAAGATGTCTGGCCTTCAAACAAGGAGAATGTAGACTGCATGGACCAACGTGACCAGATGCCACTGCAGCATAGCAAGTATCAACAGCTGTGGTTGGCATGTACTGATGAGAAGAGAAAAGGAGATGTCCAGGTGAGGACAAGTATCTATGAAGCCAGATACTTGATGCCCCAACTAGATCTTATCAGCATGGAAGCCTTTCCTCTGAAACCTTGATTACTTTTGCTGGTAAAAGATGTAGTGAATCCTAACTTTGTCTAATTATTTATTTTAAAAAAGAGAGTTGTTTAACATTAAACTATAGAAAATATGAAATCCATATCTTCATTAAAGCTACATCCTTTGGATGTGAATCTGAAGATCAAAATTTATACTTTCTAGGTATTAAATTATCTGAAATAAATATACAGTTAAAAATTTAATGTTTTCATTCTGGGTCTCCCATTTATTCTACATCATAGCCTATGTTCTTTATATCAGTAGAAATATGCACACAGTATGCATACAAAGAGAAATGTCCCCATGAAGTAAATAGAAGATGAATTAGAGAGAAATTATGGGAGACACATCAATAACGTCTAGCTTGGATGTTAGAGTCACATGATCAGAATTGATTTGAGACTTCCAACTTACTAGAAACTCTGTATTTTCTCATCCATAATTTGTGATAACACTCACCTAGCAAGATTGTATGGGGTTAAATAATGAAATATATGTAATGCACTTAGACTAGGGTCTAACACATGGCAAATACTCAATCTTCTTAATCTTGCTGTTTTTTTTCATTTATTTTATAAATTGCTATTTGTAGAACTTAATGTCTTTAATTCTTATCTATGATTCTTATGGTCAGAATAATCAACAAGTAGTATAAATCATGGTTTATGTTGAGAATTTCCTCATACAAACATAATTATGTAGTTCTTATATAGGCCAAACTTACATTCATTTCTATTAGTTATATGCCAGAGGATATGAGTTTTTATGATTTATTTATGTAGACACATTCTATTACCACTCTTTTCCAACTGCCATTATTTTGGCTTAGGAGAAAATGATTTTGAAAGAAGGTCTAAGTAGTTTTAATAACTCTTTTGTGAACTTCAGAAGTAACTATATCACTTTCTAGATATATCTATTAAATAAATGGTCCATGAAAGTATGTACAGGTAGATAATCAATTGATGGAAGCAAATAATCCTATTGAAACATTTGTTATTTATTTTTGATACCGTTCTTTTAAACAGACTGATTAGTTCCTTTTATGATTTCACCCTTGAAAGCACACACTATTTTGTTCTCTGTCATTGTTGCATGACATTCCATTTGGCAGTTGGACCTATTTTTAGCCAGACTATCATAGTATTTTTCAACTGGACTGTCACTGCACTTGAACTTGGAATCTTATAACTTGAAGAACTTCCCTGGAGAAAAGAAGAAACTTATAACAAATGGGAAATTATAAATCTAGACCAACTCAAACTTGTACTGGTAATTATTCTAATTATTCTTATTTCTTTAAATATGACATGGTTCAATTATAGTTATTGATAACTAACAACTCATTAGAATATGTGCTAATTTGTATACAGAAGATAAAGCAGCATATTATATGGAAGTCTTTAAAAAAACTATCTGAACTCAAATTATTTTTGTCTGAAGATTTTTACAGGAAACAGGAAATTTTTTACAAAAATGTTATTTTAGTTCCTTGGTCTGTTACAGGAAATTTTGGAATATTGCTGAATATAGGGATTTGAGAATTATATCTTAAGTATCTAGTATTTAAAAACTAAAAACCATCGTGCAACTAGAGATTGCTATAATTAAAATGCAATAAAATAAAATGAAATAAGTCAATTATATTTTTATGTAAATATATTATCCAATATCAAATGGGTTCTTAATCACTTCGATTCAATATGATTGCTTTTTAAATATAAACATCTGCATTTTAAACTCAAAATCAGTAATTTATATTGAGTATTGTCGAATCTAGAATGAAAAACAATTTTGATTACTTGTATGTTATGATCTGTGTCTACATTTTGCAAAACACAACCATAAATCAATCTCATTTGTTCTTCTGTACTAGATGAATGGAAGAAAAAAGTTAGTGAATCATACGTTGTCACAATAGAAAGATTAGAAGATGACCTGCAGATCAAGGAAAAAGAACTGACAGAACTAAAGCATATATTTGGGTAAAGTTGTAAAAGTTATTATTTCTTTGTATAAGTATCTTTGGTATTCACCTTATTTTTGAAAATATGTATATATTTTTAAACCTGTAAAACCTCAGACATAAGGAGTCATGTTCTAAGCCTTAGGATGTCAGATTATCTCTTCTTGACCACTCATATAGTTCTCTAAATGCAAACATTAATATCTCACCTCTTTAAAATATGACTTGTAACCCGCCATCACTAAAGTTTAAAAAAAGATCTTAGGACTAGCTTTTGAATGCAAGCTATCGCTGATCTCAATCATCTTCTCTGAAATTAGATCATTCTTGTAAACCATGCCAGCAATGAAAAGCAAGCTTTTTCTTCCCAAACAGTGGTCACATATTACCCACATTGTTCTCTTTGAACTACGAGGATAAGTCCAATTTTAACAAACCCTCTGGTCTCTTGACATTGAAAGGCTATCCCTTAATGGAACTGAGTCTCATTCTGCCCCTGAACAATCATATAACAACCTATAATATTGGCTTCAGGATTTCAGTAGGTTTTGTTCCATGATAACAAAAGAAAAATAATTCAGGAAAGTGTCACAACCTTGGAAGACACAAAATGTTCAGGGAAGAAGAGCAGGACCCTTATATACACAAAAAGCCTTCTGGATAAATTGAATCTGACATTGAGAAACTAGATGCACTTTAGAGAGTCAAGAAAGTTACCTGACTGACTAAGGAAAAGTTTCACATAGGCCAATTAGCCGTGTTCAGTGCAGCTATGTTATTTATGTAATGCACTCATGACAAAGAACTCCCTCTATCTTACTTAGAAAACAAGTGTAAAGCAATGACCAAATGAGATATCTTAAAAATGAAATTTTAAATATAGTAAACATATAAATCTCACATAACTGGCAAATAAAAGCATCCATGTATGAAATTTGTCAATGGATTTAACAAGGCTTTCACAAGTGTTCAATTTATGGTTTGGAAAATAGTTGATTCTCTCTGTAGTTTCGCCCAGGATAATGAACACAATGCTGACACTCATGATGAGATACCACTGATATGAGTTTTGCAAGTAGTATCACATGCTGAGATATGGGACAACATTTGAAATTACTTTAGAGATATAACTGGCACTTTAGTATAAACATGTATTTGTTTTGTTGGATAAATATGAATATAGAAATTAATCATAAACATCCAGCTTTTATTGACTCAAATATATGTGCTAAATAAAATATGATAAATTGAAGAGATTTTCCTCAACTTTTAAAGGTCAAAGCCTCAGTTATTTAGTATTATTTTTTAATTAGAAAGTATTGAGCAAATATGTAAAGGCTAGCTTAAACTAGACTTATCCAAACTTAAATATTAGGCTTAACAATGGATTTAAGATGTAGGTTCTTTCTCACACCACGTTGACAACTACAAGCTATCTTGACAACTGCTATAACAGACTTTTCCTATGTTTCTATTAAATGCAACAACTGTGTCCTTCTCTTTTCTGATTAGTATTGGGGGTGAGAAGCAGGAATCTTTGTCAGGGAGCTTACAGTCCAGAATTTGTTGAGTGCCAGCTCATATTAAAGTGTTGTTCTAGATACATCAAATACAAGACATTATTTAATCTATACTCATATGTAGATTGTTGTCATATCATGTGTGCTGAATAATATTAACTCTGGTGGGTAATAAACTAAGGATTAGAAACCATGCATTGGGAGTTGTGAAATCACACGATCAGTAAATCCTGGAATGTGATTTGTATCAAGGTCTGCCTAACTCCATAGATAGTGCTCTTCTTACTATACCCTGATTACAAAAACAGGATTTAGGTCATGATTTATTCACTGATGTTTTGGAAGCATTATAGATAAAAGGCATAGTTAAAAAAAGGTGTATAGCCAAAAATGAATGAGTACCATGGAACATTTAGGAAAAGTGAGAAAAAATATTGTCTTGACCATATTATCTGAGTTCAGTAAGAAAGATATGTGAGGCCAGAGCAGGCAGATCACGAGGTCAGGAGATGGAGACCATCCTGGCCAACATGGTGAAACCCCATCTCTACTAAAAATATAAAAATTTGCTGGGCGTGATGACGCGTGCCTGTAATCCCAGCTACTCAGCAGGCTGAGGCAGGAGAAACACTCGAACCAGAAAGTCGGAAGTCACAGTGAGCCGATATCGCACCACTGCACTCCAGCCTGGTGAGACAACGTTAAAAAAAACAACAACAACTGTAAATTAGTGTAAGAATTTTAGAATCCTACAAACATGGTTTTAAATACAGCTTCTTCTATTTATAAGCTGTATATCCATGAATATGTTTTTTAATCTCCTTAAGCCTCATTTGCATCTACAAAATGAGGTGAATAATAATTACCTCGCAGAATATTTTTTAAATGATGTAAATTAAATACTTAGTACAGGGCCTAACACATAGTAAGTATTGAATAATTGGAAATTTCTATTATCATGATTGCTTGGATAAATAAGTACAGTTTGAAGGACAGCAGACTTTATCATAAAATGGGAGTAACAAATAGCTTATTAAAAGAAAGAGTGAAAGATTTTATGAAGAGAATGACTTCAAAATTAAACATGTAAAATTTTAGAACAATTTAAGATTATACCATAATCTGAATAGCTTTTAATGATTTTGATTGAAAGGGATTTGAAGAATTTTGAGACTAGAGTATTCGAAGGCTCATCAAAATGGCTGTCAAATTTACTGAGGATAGTAGTAAGGCATTTTGAGAGAGAAAGACTAATAGCCTTGTGCTGCTGCCATTATAGAAGCTACAGAATGTCCCAGTAGCCAGAAGTGATGACGAGGAAGCTGAGGAGAGGATTTTCCAGTCTAGAATGATGCTTCTACAAGTACTAGGGGCCTCTTATGTTAATGGAAACTGAGTACTTGCCAAAATTTTAGATTCCCTGACTCTACCCTTTATCAAATGATTCAGAATCTCTGAAGATACCTTCCAAGAACCTGAATGTTTAACAAGTTCCCCAGAAAAAAACTATGCATAATAAAAATGATATTTCTAAAGTTTGAAAACGATACTTCTAGGAAGATATCTGAGTTGCACTGAGAACTCTTTGCCTGAGGTGATATTAATGAAGGAATGAGGAATGTGAGAACAGAAAGTATACAGGAGTCAAGAGAACCAAAAACAGAATAATCTGCTTTTGTCTGATTTCATCAAGGAAGATAGCATAATCTTGGAGAAAACAAGTCAGTTGTTTCTGGGGCATAGTTCTGTGGATTTTCTTTTCTTTGAAATAACATGTTGGATGAAAGAAAGAAAAGAATATTGTGCTAAGAATATAAACTGTCTTACTCGCTCATCCACCACATTTTAAAGGTAGTTGGGAAGATCAAACATAACATTGTATGAAATGACATTTAAATGAGTATCTAGAGCATTATAGGTTCTAAATAAATGTTAGCATCTCATTTCTCACCCTTATTTCTCTTATAATATAAAGATTATTTCTATGATAAACAATTATGTTATGCTGCCTGACATCAGCCTTTCTCTAAACACGTAGATAGCAAGGAGACTGTATACAATGCCCAAAAAGGAATATTTCACATTAATGCTAGAGTCAAAGATAAGGATCACTGATGTAAACACAGTTTTTCATTTGCTAACCATTTTCTTTATGGCATTCCTGGTAGATGCTAATTTCATTCATTATAAGAGATTTTTTTACCACATAATGCACCATTGCTCTATCACCTCAAATACACAATCTTCCTGGCATAGCTTTTACCCATGATATAATAAGCAGCAATATAGTACTAAACATAAGACAGAAAGAGCTAAATAATTATCCTGGTTATGCCAATTTATAGCAGCTTTGGAATAGTAGCTTGATATAGGAAAGAATGAAAATGGAAATAGAATGTTCTTTCATCTTCTGCTATAAAGTTGCATTCACTCATAACTGTGAACATTTGTTTAGGTAATGAATTGGTAACAGGAAGAAATGAAGAAAAAGAGAAGGCAGAAGGAGAAGGAAAGACAGAAATGGCACCTTAGAGTACCATTGTCTGATTACATCCTCCTCTGTGCTGCCTCTAATCTTTATCAACATGATAGCACTTACTACATGGTGTTGTTTTTATCTATTTATAGGTCTATCTTCCCACTAGTATGTGTGTTCACTAAGGCAGCTTTTTTCTTATTTAGCCTTATTTATATTTGTATTTATTTGTAAAACAAACTAATAACTTAGTGCTTACCCTATGCCAGAAATGCTTCTACATACCTGTTTGTGCATCAGCTCAGATAATCCTAATGGTGTATATGTAAAGTGCTTTAACACAGTGTCTGACACATGGCAATCCCTCAAAAATGTTAGTTAACATTTAATCATTATTGTTTATGTTAACAACCCTCTGAAATAAGTGTTGCAATTGCCATGTTATACCTGAAGAAAATGAGGCTAATCAAATTAAACTGGCTTGAACTAGATTAAACAATTTGTATGATTTACCTAGGATTGTATCCATCTTTATTTGATTTCAAAATGTATCATATTCATAATCTTGGTTATGAATATTATACAACCTCAGAGGAATAAGGAGGCATGAATCAGAATTATATTTGAAGAAATTTTATTTTCCCATGACACTTCACGATTTTACTGTATCCTATAAATTAGAAATGCCCCGGGGATAGGAATAGAAAAATAGACTTTTAAAAATCCACCACCCATAAAATACATATTACCCTTCCATAGTTTTGAAAAAAACTATGGAAGTGATGGCTATCCACATATGACTTAAAATGTTTTCAATTGAATTATTTTGTTTCAATAGTTTTTTATCATAATAAATTTTAAGACTATGTTTTGCTAATTTCATTGTCAACTGAACTTTTTATCTGTTCAATCTATAACGTTTAAAACTATGAGAATATTCCAGAAATCTTATAATTTTTAAACACTATGACTTACCAACATAATCCAAAAAACCTATATTTTTCTCATTTTTTAATCTGTTTT